TTTTTGCAGTGTGTCCCGCAGCATTGGCACTAGTCGGTTCACCGTCGGCAACTTTTCGGCCAATTGAGCATGTTGAATTGGTGCCAGAATGAAGAAAGTGAAGACCAACTGAACAACATGTTTCAAATTCAAAATCCACAGTCCTAGTTTCCCTTTTTGAATAACGTATATAGACTACTGCCACCTACTGTTATGGAAAGTTTTTTTTCTTTTAACGCAGGAGCAGAACATACCTGCTAGTTGGCCGTTGGCTGTAGTCTTTGTGGTGAATCAAAAAAAATTTTTTGGGCCCAAACACAGACTACACAAAGCGACAACACAGATGGCTTTCGTTGCCACTAGTTTGTTGATGTTGGCTCTGTGTGTCACAGCCTTTAAGGAGAACTCTGCTACTGCTTTTCTTACCCATCAGACTTTCGATTCTCACCTGGCGAATGATAAAATCAGTTTAAATATCCCAGAGGGTTTTAGAGTGCAGAATATCATTGGACTTGGGAGTGGACTCTTATGGGGCCAGTTAGAGATGCGCTAGCAATCACTAAGAATACCTTAACAACAGCAAGTTAACATGCTATAGACCACTCAGAAGACCTTAGAAAGTGCATTGCAATGCCCTAGCATCTACTCAAGAGCACCCTATCATTATGGCGAAGAGTTTAGCATGGGCAAACAGTCCACATTTTCTTCAGAAAAAAAGTAGTTATACCATACTTTCCTCATGGGTTACTGCACAAAGAAAGGAAAGATTCATTTTCCCCTCCTCGGTCTGCCCTCTCTCTTCCATGTTCTCTCCTCGGACAGTTTGTTTGTTTAAACAAGTGGCAGGGCTGTTGGGTGCCAAGGGTTGTTGTGTTTGGAGAAGCTCAGAGTGTTTCTGGGAGCTGTCTCTCTCTTATACACAAGCGCGCGCACACATACACAGCACTGCCCTGGCCAAACTGTTTAAATGTGTGGCTTATAGATATTTATTTTCAGAGCGAACCATCGGTTGCTTATTCAAACGCCCCACCATGTGTAAAGCACAGCCACACATACACAGCCACACACACACACACACATTATTATCATCTTGCTAGTTCCGGGTTGGGCCCTCTTTTGCCTTCAGAACTGCCTTAATTCTTTGTGGCATAGATTCAACAAGATGCTGGAAAAATTACTTGGAGATTATGATAGCATCATGCAGTATCTGCAGATTTGTCGGCTGTACATCTATTGCCACTTTTCTACTGTTGGGCGAAACCATTCTCTTTGCTTAACCATTCCATTCCATGCCGATCCGGCCCAGCCGGCACGGATATGGTTTCATTTTCCACTGTGGGGCTGATAACGGAGCTCTTTGGAATGTAATACAAATGTGTCAGTCGTTGCCTTGGTAATGCAACGGTTTACTGATGATATGAGAAAACTATCACGTCATGGAAGATGATCAGATATTTCTTTTAATTTTTATTATTAATTTGTGTTTGTCGCTCAAATAGTCAGCTACGGAGAAACTGGTTGCCAAAAAACAGACATGACAATCCTGAGTGGCGACATCACTACATGCATTCTACCAGCATGGTTAGCTAACCGTGCTGAGAATTCCAGGCGGAGAATGGTTTGTAATCATGCCCTACCAGGTTCAAGTGGAAACATAACTGGAACCGTTCCTTACCATTTTTAGAACCATTCGGCCCAACGGTAGAAAAACGGTTTATGATGCAAATCTTCCGTTCCACCATATCACAAAGGTGCTCTACTGGATTGAGATCTGGTGACTGTGGAGGCCATTTGAGTATAGTGAACTCATTGTCATCTTCAAGAAACCAGTTTGAGTTCATTTGAGCTTTGTGACATGGCGTGTTATTCTGCTCGAATAGCCATCAGAGGAAGGGTACACTGTGGTCATAAAGAGATAGACATGGTCAGCAACAATACTCAAGTAAGCTGTGGCATTTAAACGATGCTCAATTGGTACTAAGGAGCCCAAAGTGTGCCAAGAAAATATGCTCCACACCATTACACCACCAGCAGCAGCCTGAACCGTTGATACAAGGCAGGTTGGATCCATGCTTTTATGTTGTTTACTCCATGGTTTTATGTTGTTTGATTCTGATCCTACCATCTGAATGTCGCAGCAGAAATCGAGACTCATCAGACCAGTCAATGTTTTTACAATCTTCTATTATCCAGTTTTGGAGAACCCGTGCTAATTTAGCCTCAGTTTCCTGTTTTTTCCCCCTGGAGTGGTCTTCTGCTTCTGTAGCACATCTACTTCAAGGTTTCGACATGTTGTGTGTTCAGATATGCTCTTCTGCATACCTCGTTTGTAACGAGTGGCTATTTTAGTTAAAATTGTCTTTCTATCAGCTTAAACTAGTCTGGACATTCTCCTCTGACCTCTGTCATCAAGAAGGCGTTTTCGTCTGGCACCAACAACCATGCCACGTTCAAAGTCACTTAAATCACCGTTCTTCCCCATTCTGATGCTTAGTTTGAACTTCAGCAGATCGTCTTGACCTATCATCTTGTCTACTTGCCTAAATTAATTGAGTTTGCTGCCATGATTGGATGATTAGATGTTTGCATTAACGAGCAGTTGAACAGGTGTACCTAATAAAGTGGCCAGTGAGGGTATAATATATGCCATATTAAACTTTACAAAAGAGCTGGCGCTTGTAGATGTGGTATTACTTATTATGGAAAAACGTAAACTTTATTTTATATTTATTACAAAAATATTGAATATCCTGCTGAAATTAGCCATCTTTTCTTTATTTCATTGTGTGCCGTAGCAGTGTCTCTGGATTAGAGCTGTTTAAAAGTGTGTGCCATCTGCTCTATTGATGTGCCCTGTGTTTAATCACTCAACATCCATGCAAGATTGTACTTAGAGATGCAAACTATTCCTTTACCTCTCTCCATTTCTGTTTTCTCTCTTGGAGCATCGGCATAGTAGGAGATGTCTTTAAGCAGACTGATGGATGGTGTAGAACTTGCTTGTAAATTGTAGGGGGAGGGTAGTTGGCATAGGAACGGGCACTGTCACAATGCCAACCTGCTTCTGTCCAATCAAAGACTCAGTTGTTGGCCAATGGTGCAATACGCTTTCATGATTCAAACACTACTTAAGATGTTATTTATTATGTGGGGAAAAAATAGTCGAAGCTTAATGCAGAAATAACTCTTAAAATTTCTAACAAGTGCACAGGACAAACCACGAGTGGGGATTTTTCTCCTCCTCTCGCTCTATCTTAATTTTCTCCAGACTTTTTTCTTCTTAATATATGGTGTTCCCTCCCTTTCTTTGTCATTGTTGAGCTGAAGCCAAGAACATTCCATTTTTGCAGCTCTGTTTAATGGTCATTTTTGAGGGGGGTGGGATTTATTCCCATCTCTCTATCTCTTACTCTCCCCTTTTAACTTTCACTTCTGAAATGAAGCTTAGGAAGGAACAAGAGTAATGTTCCAGCTCATTTTCTCTCTTTTCCCCCACATTTATTTACTAAAAGCCAATATTTAGGCATCATAATTGCATTGTCCAATATCAGTGTTGAGTTGGTCGGTTAACTAAAAGGAGTTTTATTGCTCCTTTTAGGTAAAAAAACAAAACAGCAATGCCTTATTGTTTAAGCATGTGGGATGTTTTAGTATTATATTGGTTATCGGCCTATATGATTGCTTTATTATTATTATTATTATTATTATAAATATCAATCCATATTGAATATATAGATCATCTGGTACTAGATATTTTTTTGCACAACCTCATTTATCCTTTTTTTACATTTAAATAAATGTTAGATGACAGCAAAAGCAACCTAAATGTAATATTTAAAAACACTAAGTAAATATTATATTAATTTAGTATAATGTAATAACATTGTTAAATGTAATCTATGTAAAAAAAAAAAAAGCATTTTCATACTATACAATAGAATGTTGTGATACCTAAATTCACTTTAAAGCTATAGATTTTATTGTGTTTTATTAATTAAATCGCATAGGATTTAAAATCGGCTATAACATGAAACTATTTATCGGTTTATTGCTATCGTCCAGAATTTTTATATCAGTGAATCCTTAATATGTTGCTTGTTGTGATCTTGAAATAAGCAGATTATTAAATGAGCTCCTGAAAAGACTGGGATAATGCAAGCCGCTATCATTAGCACTGTAGGGTCAAGGAAGGGTCTTCCTAAAGGTTTTGTAAGGTAACATCATTAATCATGTAACACTTAAAGCACACATCAATGGCAGGCAGGATTCTTCTCATTTTTCCATCTTTTCCTCCCCTACTCCTCTACTTTGCTCATGCTCTTCAAGGTGGGGTGTGTATTGTATCTCCATTTTACTTTTGAGGCACGTTTCAGCTTTGCCTTTAACTGTTCCTACATCCTTCTTTTTTCCTTCCCCTTTTCTTCTCCCGTTCCCCCTCACTGAAAGAAACAAGCATGTAACTGCACACATCTGGCCTGTCCTGTCAGGACCCAGAAACTGTAGTTTCCTTTTCAGGCCGTTTACTGTACCAAGTTCTTTCTTTGTGTTGGGTTTGTTGCCTATTTGCTTAAATCGAGCTGCATGATGTGTAAAACCTGATGATCATGTTCTTCAGCATGCTTTGTGATGATCCAAAGAGCATCTGACTATTTTTACAAAGAGTTCACACATGATCAGTCACAAATTTGCAGAAATGGAAATAATTCTTTTTCAGTTTATACCAGTGATGTTCCATGTTGTAAAATCCTAAAGATTTCAATTTGTTTCCAGATTAAAATGTAAAATATGTGGTCTTCTGGATCCTATTGTTTGTTGTTTATATATTGTGTATTTGTGTTGTTTTGATTTTTCTGAATTTTCCTCATTTCCTAATGTCAACAAAACCATAACAGCTAAACAAACATTGGAAAACACTGCCAAGTGGATGATAAATTAGAGTGAAGTGCAGTACTGTCATCTGTAGACCTACTGTTCTTTCTGGGTTTTGTGTTTTAATCCACCAACTTTATTTGTGTTTTCAGACTCTCAACAGTCAGGAAGTCCAAGCAACAATGAGCCTGGCAAGAACCCTCCAGGTATGTCAACGTAATACATTAATGCACAAATGCACATAAATCTACATCTGCAGTCAAGGGTTTTAAGTAAACTATTGCCAGGTGCTGGTGTACCCATAATAATGACACCCCATAAAGACAGATAAATCCTGTATGACATCAATGTTAGATGGTTGTTTACTTCATTTTCATTATATTGTTTCAGGGTTCCCAAAGTCATGGACAATCTAAAAATATCTGGGAATTTTAAAATTGTGATTTATAAATAGTTTGAGTTATGCTCACTTCTTAAATATTTCATCAGCTAGAAATGTAGAGTAATTATACAATGATAAAAACGTTTTATTTTATTTAAAAAATGTACAAATAACAAATTCATAAACATCGAATCTAGTAATCATTCACAAATGACTAGAAAAAAACATTATGGAAATTCAATTATCAAAAGGTGTGGGACCCCTGAGTTTGTGAGATGTATGTGTTTTTGTGTACATATATTTGTAACTGGATATAAGCTGTACTTGTAGGCTTATAACTCATTTTCAGAGAAGAGAAACAGATATGTATCTCGTCATTTGCCACTGAAACAACTTACAACTACTGATCAGTTGGTCACTCAAACCAAACCAGGTCTCAAATAAACTCTACTATAAATATATGTCATGTAATTAATTAGCAGCTTTGAATTAAAGCTAAACTTTCCTTTATATTGCACAGTCCCACAAAAAAAAAAATCAAAACTTGTCTTCCAGTTGAACTTTTTTGCTTTTTTAGAGAAATTATACCAAAACAGGCTTATTTGATCAGACTATATGAAAGCAGACCATGTCATGTCTGCGTTTTTTACAAGAAAAAACAGAAATGGCCATTTACTGTATATAAAACAAGCCATCCTGTTGGGCTTTGCGGTGCTTTGTGGGAAAGATTTGAATCTTCCTGGCATGCTCTAGGAGGCTGACCCTGTGGGGCTGGCCTTTTTTTGGCACAAGTCTGGAATGCAGTGTTACGTACTAGTTGGGTTTCTCTGAACCTAATCGATCTCTAGTCTGTACATAATACATGTCACAGTTAGTTTTGTCACAATCCCTGAAAGTAAAAATTAAATTGAGACGAGGACGAAAGATTATTTGTTTAATCTATGTGGAAAATAAAATGTTTTCTGATGCCTGCTCACCAAACACACAGCATTTGAAATGTCCTCATGTGTATGTGTTAAGTAAGGACATGTGTCTCAAGAAAATGCTTTTGTCTCCCACAGTTTACTTGGAAGAGAGCTTTATTAAATCAGGGGTCTTTAGTGTTTCGGAGCTGGTGAGAGTATCCAGAAGTAAGTCTCTCTCTAAACATGTGCAAACACACACACACACACACACACATACACACACTGGTTTCACTACTGTATGTTAGTGAGGGCATCTCGTAGACGCATGGTTTTATACAATTTTAAACAAGTACATGGATTTATATTTTATACAGGTAAAGATACTGCAAACGCATAAACCTACTCGGGAAGCATCTAGAAAAATTATTTATAGGGTGGCATGAGGACTATTAGGGGTAGCAATACCAAAGCAAATATCCATGCATAGTTATTGTAGATTTATGGCCTGACATACACATTTATGTTCATGAATATGTGAAACGGTTGCATTACCACAGCGTAATCATCTATTCTGTCTAAAAATAAATAAAAATAAAACCGAAACTTTTGAATTTGCTAACATTAGAAAGAAATGCCCAAATATCAAAACACTAATACTGGATCAGTTTTGCAAATACTGTTTGAGTGTCTGTTATTTACAGAGGTCGAATTGTCTGTATGTGGATGCTATGAAACAACAGCAACACTTGGTTGCTGAACACTCAGATCATCTATCTATCTATTCTGACCTAACTTCAAACTATTTTTAATTTTAAAACAAGACAAGCAACATAAAATGTGTCTTTTAAACTTTTCAATCTAGTTAATTAAGATTAGATTCTTACCCAACTATCCAAAAAAATAATCAGCTATCAGTTTCCATGATCGGGATCTCCTTATTGATTTAATTTTATTTTATTGTCAGATGGCAAAAAGGTCTATATCCATGATGAAAGTGAAACGGGCATTCATATAATTTGCTCACATCATATACGGACGAGATTAGATTTCTCAGAAAACCTCTGTGTTAGCCAATTTTCAGATTCACGAACAAATGGATAAACAATCAATTTGTTCGTAAACTGGGCTACACTGGTTGCGATGTGTGTTTCTGACTCACTAAGAACTGATTCATAAGAGTCATTTTTAATGAAGCTGACTACACAGGGAATGTTCCATGTGTGTGCAACCCACAGGGACAGTTTATAGAAAAATGTGTTTTCTTCCCATTATTTTGTGGTACACTTTTTTTTTTTTTTTTGTGTCATCAAATGCCGCTGCGCTGCTGAAAAGATTGGGTGACAATGCTTTTCCTTAGGATGCCATTTGCCATCCCATGCCACCTCTGTAGATCTGCCCCTGAACCTACTCATCAGATAAATCTGTTGAAATCAGTAGATTTGATGTAAACATGACCTTCAAATAGTGTGAACCACTTCATATGTCCTGGCAAGTATATTTTTGAGAAGTTTCACTAAATGTGTTGGAACATTTAAAAAAAATGTGGCTCTCAAAGTATAGCTAAACCTATAAAAACACATTTATCTAAAGGAGGACACACCATGGACTTTTGTTTTTACTAGTAAAAATATGAATCTACTAGACCCAAACCCTAGCTTAAAAATAAAATATTTAGCATTTTTAGAGGGGGGAAAACCTGAATGTTTAAATGAATGTTATGATTATATTTATATACATTTATATATAATCTACAAATGAATTTAGGGAGGTTGTCTCCAAGGGGAATTTTTTCTAACTTCTTGCGACAGCTTCACCCCACAAGTATAGCTAAGTAAACATACAGAGCAACAAAACCAGCATGCTCTATGCTGAGGCATTCCTGATTTAGCAAGGGAGGGACTTGCCCAGAACATCTGTGGAAAATCCAGTCTAGTGGGTCTTGTGTGTGTGTTCACAAGTTTTGGTGCACAAGCATACAGTAGTTTATGTGTAGACATGCCTGTTCTCATCAGAGAGGATGACAGATGTTCCAAAAAGAATCTCTCTTTGATAGCTGAGGACAATTTTGCCCTCAGGCAAGATTTGTACTAATTGCCATAGGGTTTATCAGGGCCTGAAACACACACACACACACACACACACACACACACACACACACACGTTTACCCTCCACACATACACACACACAAAGACACTCATATTCACCGTATGATGCACTTGGTGACGCTGTAACTGATCCATGTCACACCTAAATGTAACACGACGCTCTCGATCTGTCCCACATACACACACACACACACTACCATAATTGTGGCCTCTATGATCCTCTGCTCTTTGGAAAGGCATTCAAACAATAAAAGCACTACAGCCATATGACTTACCTGCAGGAAACGGCATGTACCAAAAAACAGCAGAACAATGGAAGGTCTGTCAACTTCCTGAACAAACTGACAGTTTATTGCACACTTAAGGTTTTAAATGTATAATTTAATGGGCATTGTGTTGCTCTGTAATGCAGTTCAGATGAGGTTATAGTGAACACTGTATATATTGTTGTGGGTGCTCATATTAACTACTAGAACAAATGTCATACCTGCTCACCTGCATTCATGTGGTGGCAGCAGGTCTTTGGCTCAGTGCCAGCAGAGACTGACAGCAATTTTTTATGTTTCCTGCACCTCAGAGCCTCAGGTCATATCATGTCATACACGAAAACACACACTCTGCTAAAACTTCATGACACATCTCCTTAAACTACTGCAAAAGAGAGATAAAAAAAAAAAAAAGTAAGAATATTTTTCAGCCATGTGTTTTAGGTTTTATATACATACATATGTTATACAACACCCAGTTGTTTGTACGCCTATCCTTATCAGGACTGTACACATGACTAATGTTTTTTTTACTAAGCTAATTATATTTTCTATCCCCTAACATCACCCCTAAACAGAATCCTCACAGAAAAAAATCTGCATTTTAATTTTTTTTATAGAAATTACGAAGACAGCTGGATATCCTCATAATGTAAGGGTAGAGACCTGAAACTTGAATACACACTACATTATGTGGACATTCATCCTAATTTATCCTTTATGTAATGTAGGTCAAACCAGTACACACACACTATGATTAATGATAGGAAATAATATCACATTTCTAAACTTAAATATAATAATATAATTAATAATGTAATGTAATATAAAATGTAAAATTTACACTTTTTTGCATTTGGCAAATATTTGTATTCAGAGCAACTTATAGCTTATAACATGATACGTATGTTATCAGCACATGTGCTCCCTTGAAACTAAAACCACTGCCTTAATAAACACAGATACTGCCAATGAAAGATGTGCTTCAGTGCTACAGTGTACATTAGCCAGCTTATAAATCACCAGCATATTATGAAAGGTATGTATATTTTTTGAGGAATAGTAGGTATAGAGCTATCTGTTCATGAAAGACCAAACTAGCTTTGTCATGCTATTGTATGTAAACAAAGAGGCTAGTGACAGAGGTTAGACCGCTGAACGGTACTCTGGCTCTTGTGGTTTCTCTGTAGATATGATATCTCTGACACACTTCATACTGTTACAGCCCCTACGCCTGTTCTCTCTTAGATTGAGTTACAGCTACATGTTTGGGTTTGCCTTCATGCAAATTCTGCCCTGAATAACAGCTTCTAACTGAGAGCCAGAAAGAGTTTGTTAAAAGTGATTTAGTTGATTGACTCTTTATGCCAAAATGATGTTAGTTACTCGACATTTCTACCTATCCCTAACCACTGTCTTTTCTCTCTCTTTCTGCACGTCTCACCAGCTCCTATCACACAGGGTTCAGGAGTGAACTTCCCTATGGCTGACATGCCAAGTCAGCCATATTATCAAGAACTGAACTCAGGAGTGAGTTTACACCGGTCCCTCTCATCTCCTCCTGGCAGGTTAGCATGCATGTTCAAACACATACATTATTAAACCTGTTTGTTGTCTTCAGTGTAAGATCAGCTTCACAAAAGATCAGCTAAACAAAGCTGCAAATTGTTTTTATAAAAATGTAACCCATATTTGAAGAAAAAACAGTTCTAAAGCTAAATTAAAACAGTTGTTTAAATGTATTAATTCAATTTTGCCCCACAATATGTTACATTTAGAGTTAGTCTGGGTCAAAGTTCATTAAAATATCCCTTATGCCCTCTATTCTAATTACGAAATTGGTGATTTAAAAAAAAAATTATTTTCAATGTCACAGCACAGATTGGTGTAGTCCGAAGTCAGATGAATGCATGTTCTTCTGTCCTCTGCAGTAAGCGGCCTAAGACGATCCAAGAGGACAGTATGGAGACTAGTCCCACCGGGCCAGACTTCTACCCATCCCCCAGTTCCCCGGCCAGCAGACCCTGGCATGAGAGAGACCAAGGTGAGAGAGACTGTTCATGGTCAAGACTTGCTCTCATTTCATTATCATGTGAGCATTAAGCTCATTTCCTCAATTTAAGCACTACTAAGAGCTATTCAGCACTGTTTCTCTCTTTTAACCCTCCCTCTCTCTATGTCCTCTGTGTGAAGATCTTTTCTGTGTGATTTTCCCCTTTCTTCAGTTCTCAGTAAAGTGTGATGTTGATAAACTGGTCTTCATTCTTGCAGCACTTTGTGAACTCCAGTATTCATGCAAAACTGAACAAAACACATCAGTCAGCATCAGCCTGTGGCATTCTCATAACCTCAGCTGTCCTTCTAACACTTCTGCATCAATAATGATATTCTGAAATTATGACCATTTGAAAATGTCAGTTGTATAAAATTTCAGTTTATTTATTTATTTATTTATTTTGCTCTTTTTATTTATGGAAGCATAGTGCAATTGCAAATTAGGGCCTGCATTTTTCTGATAAGTCACACAATGAATAAATAGAATGTAATCTCAACTTTTTGCATTAATTGAGCCTCATATGTCCAGAAATTGTAGGTTTTGGTGAAGGATTTTCATTCCTGTGCGCTATGCAGTTTAACATAACTAGAAAGAAAGAGCAGGTTGTTCTGCTGTATGTTTTGTATGTTTTGATTGAAACCTTCGATAAGACGTCATTTATTAAGAAGAAGTGTCACATTTTCACAGGGTGGAACTGTTCAGTCTTGTTTTGTGTGGGCAAAATGTGTGTATTAGTATTGGGTCTGGTTTCATTCTTTTGTAGTTTAATGGCTACATTTAAAGGACTGTTTAGCCCAATTTAAGCCTAGTTTAAACAACATAGAATATATAATATTGTCGATATAAAATTATTAATGATTCATTTCTGCACTATTAACAACATCAAATAAATCCTAAAGTACTTTAAATACATTTTACAAACGTTTTTAGACAAAATCCCCAAAATAGTTTTCTTAATTTTAGCAAAGAAACAAAACAATAAATCTGTTTAAATCTGTCAGATGGAGATCAGACTAGCCTGGTTTCCTGTCTGCATTGGTATTTGATTAGGCATGTTTCCTCCTTCAGAAAAGGGGATTTGTCTGGCGTGTGGCAACTGTTGAACTTGACCTGATCTCTAAAATGGGTGTGTCAAAGGTCAGAGCAGGGTTGTGACCTTTCAGTTCAGACCCCAGACCCAGATGGGATGGAAGGGGGAGGGGTGTGTGGCAAGGAATGAAAGGAGAGATCTTCTGTTCTAACAATGAGTTTGCACCATTAGTTACTCTTGTTACTCATTCGCTCACATGACTGTCACCCAGTTCTGTAGCATTCAGTTCAGATCTTAGCTAAAATATGTTAGTTTTAATAGATAAAAAAAAAAACGTTCCGTGTGAAAAATGTAGATTTTAGCATGTAATCAAGAGAGATTGTTTTTGTACAGTGTGTGTGTTAGAGACAGACAGAGAAACAGGCAGGTGTGACAGCGTCTGTTTGAACTTGTCCCTTGACGACCAACAGGTGGCCAGTATAAGAGGGAAAGGGAGAATTTGAGCACTAAAAAATACAACACTCAGCTATTTCAACAAAAAAAAAAGTCTTTAATTGTAGTTAATTCAAGTTTCATAATCATTTCCCAGGCAGCAGGACACATTCCACTGTACATAAATGTTATGTCTTATTTTCTAGTTATGCACTTGTTTTTGTTTCTTGTGTTAGGGCTGTCAATTTAATACCTGAATTTAGTTTGATTATTTTGGAAAAAAAATAATGTGATACAAAATTAGAGCCTCAAGTCTGTGTCTATTTAAGGATTTACTCATCTGCTAAAATGGTGACAAAAAATGATCTTAATTTGGTCGATTTTCTGGTCGATTTATTATTACTATTTTTTCCCCCCTGGACTTTTGCTGATGAGCTGTTGTGAAAGATGGAGGGAGGAGTGAAGAGGGGGATGTGGTAGAATAGAGCTCATGAGAAAGTGGTTGTTTTGTAAAAGCCATATCAGAAGGAGCGAAGCATGAATATTAAAGCCATATGAGGTCTTGACAAAAGGAAACTGTCTCAGCCAAAGCCTAGTCCTCATGTGCACAGAAACACACTCGCACACCCACACCCACACCCACACACTCGCGCACACACACACACACGCACACACACACACACACGGATTTCGGATATTGCCATCCTTGTGGGGACATTTTGTCCCCATAACGTAGGGTTTACCAGGCCACACACACACACACACACACACACAACACACACACACACACACACAGCACACACACGCACACACACACACACACTCGCCAGTAAAATACCTTTCTAATTTCATATCAAATCAACTTTGTGAAAAGACAATGTCATTGTATGGCCACTGCCTCAATAAAGTTGCAAGTCTCACTCTCTCCATTTCTTTTTCTCTGGTATGCTTGAAAAAAATTAATATATCAGTTTTCCCAATCTGTGTTCTTCAGATGCGTGTGTAGTCATTCCCTGGTCATGCATACATACAAAACATGCTCGTTTTTGTGTGCTTTTTTTTAAGGCTTTTGGGAGAGCAAATTCTCCTCCTGTCACCTTCTTACTTTCTATATCCCACCCACCTTCATTCTCTTATTCCTTCCTTCCTTCCCTCTTTCCTCAAACACAATATGGATATTCCTGAGGGAGCACAATCCTGCCTTCTAACAGCTTTTTTTCTTCCTTTTTTTCAATGTTCTGTTGCAACAGGTGTGATGACAAAATATTATTCGAAAGCCTTATGCTAAATTCGGACATGTTGAAACAGGAAAATGCAGTCAAAAATGTTTTTAAGAAAAATAATTCATGTTTCAGAACCATACCGTATAAAGCTAGGCTCTGTTAAAGTGCTGTACGTCAAGGTTTATCTGTAGATTCTGTCTATAAAACTATTACGATATCTATTTATAGTTGTGGAATCATGTTAGGTTTTTCTGTGTAAACTTCTTTTTGGTCAAATCTGTTTCTAAAAATGATTTATGAGCGCCTTGTTCAGCAGTTTACAACCCTAATGTGTCTTTTTATATATATTTGAATATTTTTAAATGCAATTAAATAGATAAAAAAAAATACTGCAAATAACATTGTAAATGTTCTCAATTGTCTGGTCATTGGCAGTAATGGTAAACAGTAATTTAGGAAATTTGGGACCCTGAATAGGACACACAGACACATGGAATCCCCCTACATTCCAATGCCTTTGTGTTATTTGAGTCAAGATCATTTACCTTTTTCCTGCCAGAGAGAGAGAGAGAGAGAGAGAGAGAGAGAGAGAGAGAGAGAGAGAGAGAGAGAGATGAGAGAGAGAGAGAGAGAGAGAGAGAGAGAGAGATAGAGAGAGAGAGAGAGAGAGAGAGAGAGAGAGAGAGAGAGAGAGAGAGATGAGAGAGAGAGAGAAGAGAGAGAGAGAGAGAGAGATGGATTGAGAGAGAGCGTGAGAGGAGAGAGAAGAGAGAGAGAGAGAGAGAGGGAGAGAGAGAGAGAGAGAGAGAGAGAGATTTAATGAAGTTAAGATATAGAGACGTAGTCGTGATTGATTCATTCATCTAAAGCATCTGTGCATATCCAAACACACAATCTCAAGACAGAATACAACTTGAGAAAGGGTTTGCAGATATGTCATTAGCTAGCTGTTCTCTGTTCTTCCACCTCCCTCACTTTTCTCTAATTCATTATTCATTGCGTCTGCCTCCTTTCTTTCTGTTTTCTCATCATCATCTTTGATTGTCAGGGAGGAGCGCCATAGACATGCAGGCCAACCACTATGTCTCCTCCATGTCTGCTGATGAAGAGAATTTTTTTTGTCTCTTGAAGTAGATATGAAGTTAATCTTTTTCTTAAACAATCAAAACAAGATAGATGATACACTGCATCGCACTACTGAGAGGGGCTGTGAAAAGAAACAGCATAAGAAAACATGAAAATGTCAGAATAATGTGTTCTTATGTTGTTGACTATTTTTTTGATGCTCAGTCAGTAATTTTGGCGAATATTTAGTCGCCTAGTCAATTAAGACCTTTTTTCTTTAAGTTTTTTTTTTAATGCGTAAGTTCTGCTCATCCCAGATTTTGATTTCTTACATTGTTTAATACTTTGAGAAAGATCTTGTAGGCAAGTTTATATCTGACATCCCCCGTCTATTTTTTTTTCTTCTTCAGAAGATATGTCCTCTCCCAGCATGATAGAAGCCAGAGAAGACATTATTCAGCCCCACATCTACCACAGGACTCTTCACCTCGGCTCAGCACCTTCCCCCAGCACCACCACCCAGGACTTGACCACCGTTGGCCATAGTGGTATTAGTTTCTAAAAATACTTCTCACAATCCTTCCCTGATTCAAGCAAACCTTCTAACAACCACTGAACATTTTGAACGCTATTGCTGCCTTAAAGCACTCCTCAAAATTTTCTCTTACTGTATGAGTTCGATTGTTGTATTTTTATTGTGATCTTAAACTTAAATGGGCAATTTCATTGTCTTTCTGTTTCTATTTCTCCAAAATAATGTTAGGCCGCCTAGTAAAATACAAGCATGTGCATTAGGTGTGTATAGTAATTGATGTTTTTTTTTTTTATCATTTTTGTACTGCCACTTGGTCATAAAAAAAAAAAAAGAATCACACTCAAAATGCAAGGCAGAGAGAGAGATTGTAACCATATTTACAATTAACCATATCTAACTGATGATCTACACTTCCTATAGACTGGGCTGTCTAACAGCCCATCGTTTAAAGGAATCCACAAAACTCCCACACTGGCGAGCTAACTTTTTTCAGGCGCGAGTGTCTCGCTATCTGTATGTACATCTGTCATCTCCGATATGATTTTGTGCGGCAGTAGTAGCACTACGCAGCACTGCTTCATCTTCTTTTTTTTAATTTTATCACAACAACCAGGGTTACGGTGAAATATCACCACCTACTATGTTGGAGTGTATATGCCGCATTTATTTACAAGATTTTGAATGTTAAGTATTAACATGAAATTTATATTATATATATATGAGACAAAATAGTATTTGATTATCATCAGTACCACTGTAACTGTTTATGACAAATACCATTTTGTTTCCACCATAATTCTTTAAATGACACGACTTCGGGAAAGTCGGGGCTTAAAACAAAATTCCACATTTCTCACTGTAGACATGACTTTATGGGTGATGTTCATGCTCTCATCAGCCCTTAATATATTCATTCATTTCAAAACATAGTATTTTAAACATTTTTACATAGGTTTTTGTGTAATGTGTGGTATGGCTTCTTGATAATACCTGTGAGAAAATAACTTTCATCGAGTTTACATGTTGTCAAATTAAAATCTATTAGTAAAGTAGTTGTTTTTCTCTGCATGTGCAGTAATTTCCACTAGGAGTCACCTCCGCATTCGCCTGCAGTTTTCCGGCCCTGCCATCCATCCCCCAGCCCCCTCGCCCTACATCTCTCATGGCGCCTACCGCTACCCACCGCACCTCCAACCCCACCCGACTCCCTCAAGAACTACATGCCAGTCTTACGACCCGTCCAGCCCACAGAGCAGCCAGGTCTGTATGGACGTACTCACGTACACACAAAGACTAACGTACACGCGCATTAACCCAGACCCTAATGCAATCATACAATAATTAGTACAGTTTATCTGTACTAGAACAGAGCCTTTAAATCTCTCATGACTACGTGTGTGCATTGTCCACAATACCATAATAGATGCCAGCTGTTAAAATAGGGGTGTTGGTTTAACGTCTCAGTTGAAATATTCCCTTTCCTGAGACCGCGCAAGAACAGATTCACATTTATAAAATACTTGAAATAACATGCATCACGTGTACCGTAAATTCTCCAATCATAATCATCATGTTGTCACATATGTTAACCATACCGTGAGCTAAAGGCGTTTTACCCCCATAAAACTTGAGACCCTCATTGTAAGAGCACATGCTGTAAACACAAAAGTGCTTTAGCGCAGTTTTCTTCTTTTTCTGCCTCTACCTCTCGTTGCCTGTCTGTCTTGGTGTCTCTGGTTGTTCCCAGTGCAATCGGACTCAGTTTGATTAACAGGCCACATTGTTTCAGCACGGTAATTGACCCAGTTTAGCTAACGAAACACAAAATCATTAGTGGTTTTCTCTGTCGGCGCCTTGTCTAAATCAGTTCAGAGCCGAGCGCGAAGCCAAACGACGGCCCTCTCCATCCAGCTGTGGCGACTGTTTACCAGCAGCGGCGTAATGAAGCGAAGGGGAATGAAAAAGAGAGAGAGAGGAAAAAAAACGCAACAACAAAAGCAAGTCAATAAACACTCCAACCATGGCAGCCACTGCGCATTAGCACAAACACACAAGCACTCAATGTGTCTCCAAACTCTATGAAAACTACTTGAGATTCCTAAAGTATGAATTAAGAGAAAATATGGGGAATATTTATGTTCTATCATATAATTTAATATAGGCCATTATGTCTTCATTGTTATATGAAAAAATACCTCATTCCTGTTAATTGAAGGACTTGAATGTTTTGACTCCTCCTCCTTTAGCTGGTGATGGATGGGGCTCTTGTTGAAATAGAACTTCTGCATCTCTGCCAAGCAGCCTCAGACTGTCCCACTCATCTTAAATTAGTACCACAAAATTTTAAAAAAGGCCAAGCCTCTCTAAACATTTTGTTAAGGGAAATTTAAACTTTGTTTATTTCGGGTTAACACTTATAGTTCCCTTTTGCTTGAAGATATTTGATACCTCTCTTGTGTTGCTTAAACTATGCGGAATGTAGAGGAAAGTCAATAACAAACAACAAAAAAGAGGTAAAGTTAGAGTGGGTAATTCAGGTAAAAGTATCTAATTTGCTTGTGGTATTACCATTAACACAGTCTCTCTCAT